TCCGTACGAGTCGTTGAAGTTACGGTTTTAGAGAGATAGAGAGTTTAGAGAGAGAGTTAAGAAATATAGTAAAGGGTATTTTCGTAATTGGGGGGGGCGGTGACTAGTAATAGGGGGGCGGTAAATAGCAATCCAGTTTAAATAAGGTACGAATAACATGTTGACCATTATCTAATTAGTGACTGGTCAGACGTCGCATGTGATGTCCACATATACAAAGTCGATATATTTCAATATTTCAAAATCAGCTTCTCATGGATAAAGTCTTCATATTAGATCAACATATATATCTTCATATTATTAGATCAGCATAGTTTTAGATTAGATCAAGGTAAATAAAAGTTACACCACCAGATGGATTTTCATAAAATAAAAGTTTATTTCATAATGATCATCAACTCATGAAATTAAACAGAAGTTCACTCGGTACATTAAACAAACACAAACACACACAAACCACCTACGTTAATTATTTTCTAGATCTCCTACTTACAAAACCAAACCAAACCAAAACAAAACAAACCAAGCTTTTATTTAGACGTACACAACACAAAGTGTACTCGATCGGCATCGCCCATTTAGAAGGTATTACCCGACCCATACCCAGTTCTAGCACCACCGCCCACGTTCGGGTCCACGGGCCCAACCCCACCGGATCCCAACCCGGCGCCTCCGCCAGTCATGCCGCCCCCATGTGCGCGCTCCTGCTGCTTCTGGAGCTCCGCCTGATGAATCCTCGCCTCTTTCTTCTCCTCAGCCATCTCCTTCTGGAGCGGGTCACGAGTCGTCATTTTCTCCGCCTGTATGTATTTCATTATTTAAATATTCAATTTCATTTACATGGATCTACCTGGAATTTTCTTGAAAAAAAAAATAATAATATTTTACCGAAATATATTTATTTAATTTATAAAAATAACCCAAAAAAGAAAAGAAATAAACCTTTTCTTGGACGGTTGCTTTGGTTTTCTCCATGCCGGCCTTGGCTGAAGCTGCCACATTCTTAGCTGACTGCATTTTCTCTCTTTTTTTTCTTTTTGTAATATTTGCTTAATAAAAAACACTGAAACTTTGATGCACGGTGATATTTTGGAAGCAAGCCTTGTTTGGGATATAAATAGAGGCTTTGGAAGAGGCGATAAGTGTACACGTACCACTTTATTTGTTGACGCGTGTCGACTGTTACGAGCTGCCTGCTGGTGACTAAGCTTTTGAGCTATTTCTTTTTTTTGCTGGATATTTTATTTTTATCTTGGTATTGGTATTTTAATATACTACTATCTCTTGGGCTTTAGGACAAGAAAGGAGAAATGTTTTGGAACAAACTTGGGCTCTCTTACTGTATATGAGCCCATGTTTGCATAAGCCCATCTAAATCTAACTTGGGCCATATTATTGAACTGGTCCGAAAGTTGGATCAAATTATGGGCAAATGAAACCCACGTTTAGTTTTGTTCACTTACTTTATATTTTCTTTGTTCCAAAAAAATGTCTTGAAGAAAGA